TGGCTACATACTTCAGGTTTATAGCAAATTAAAATAGTACTTTCCGTATCGCATAAATATGCTACCGTAAGTATCATAATTATTATGGTAGTAAAATACAGTTTATACATAAGTGTGCAGTTCATTTATAAACACCCATTTAAATTTCTCCTGGCTATTCATTCATTTGTTTCGGCCTGTTGTTCTGCTTTTAAAGCTCCGTAAAAATGTTAGCGGAAAAATACGCCCATGCATTTGTATCAGTGTTACTTTTTTATCGCATTCCAAGCTTGGTAGCAGTGTTCCTGTTACCAGTGCCGGCGTCAGAACACGAGAGCGCAATCTGAGTGCCCAGGCTTTTGTGGCTTTAACCCTACTGACAACCAGTCTGCTGATTACATGGACCCCTTACGAAGTATTGCAGATGATTTCGTTCACCATCCACGATTTCAAGCCCGCTGATGAACTAGAGGAATGCCTGGATATCTTATGGACACTACAGGCGCTCTTGGATCCTTTGTTGTCGACCCATCTTTTAGCCGATCTACGGGGTCTATACTCTCTGATCCACTCAAAGACCATCCACCGCTGACGTAATTCCACGCTAAATTTAATCCATTGTGTGCACAAGCCCGCTTCTAGCTCCTCAATCTCAGCTTTTAAGTAACGACGAACTAGGACGTTTTACGCATTCACCAGTGAGTCTACCACGGGTTTATGGCATGATCTATTTTAGAGGCTCTTTAGGTTGTTACAGCTTTCAGAGATGCTGTTATGGGACTGAACCATGATACGCAAACTCATTGCTCCTATACAAGAGCTCCACGCTCTTATAAGCTAGGATAACGCATTTTTTGTTTCTGGTATAAGGTGTGCTTTTGTGTTTGAATTAGTGAATCGGTAGTGGTGGTTTTTGTTGTTTGGACCTATTGTATTGTGGAAACCATGTTCGCACTGGCGTTATTATAAATGTGGTACAGACAATATAACGCATCGCATGATGAGTTTACAATTAACATCGTGATTATATTGAGAAAGCTTGTTTGCATGCATGAAATAGCATATGCTCGGAAATTCGTCTTCACTTAACGAACTAGTTCTTGTTTCATATTTAGGTTTAAAAACCGGCACCTTGAGCACAAACAAATGAAAGGTCCAATTTAAATATAACATGTTTGACGCAAATGCGGTACAACAGTTGGTAACAGTCAACAGAATCATTTCAACACAACACACATTTGTAACCAGTTGAAGGGCATCGATGATAAGGCGCACTAAGTTACTTACAGCCGTTTTACCAGCGATCCGCAACAGCTACTTGATATTATAATTATAGAATTACGCTCAAAGGGACAGGTCGATTGTTTTGTTTTTTTGTATGAACTTATTCTTCTTAAAACGTTGCCATCTCGGCTAGGGGACATAAAATCGAATTGATACGTATGCGCAGTACCACGGTGGAGCTAGTCATGGTCCATTTGTTTAGTCGATATGGATAAAGCAAAATGTCTGTCGATGCTTGCGCGCCAGTGTGTGGTGTGCTTGTATTCTGATACCGGTGATTATCTAATATCGTACGAGTTTATATGATGTAATCCGATTAATCAAGGAAAGCACGAACGATACACTGAATTATTATTTAGTTCGGGATATGCTGGCATGGTATGATTTATGAAGTATATTGTATGGGCAATGCAATACGAATAGTTGCCGCTGTTGTTATATGCTTAGCAGTCAGTGAAACGTGGTTGAACGCTGAAAATATGGGCAACTAGGTCAAGGAATTGTCTCCCGCCTTTACCGACATCCCCAGAGCGGAGTTTCCCGTTTGAATTTGATCGGATTTTCTGCACACATCGCGGTGACTTCTAATTCTTTAATGCAAATGGTTTTCTTTGAGGCCCTGCTATGTGTCTGTATGCAAATATGCAAATGTCTGCGCGCAACAGAATGTGTAATGAATGCGTATTTAGCACAGGTGTGGATGGAAGTAGATTTTTGTTGTACTTGTCGCGAGTACAGTAAAGCCAGTGTAATCTGAACACCTACGGTTTTTTTTAAAGTGTTCAATATTTGTAATTGTTCAATATTCGCAGTCTACGAGACGCGGCGGCTTATATCCGGGCGTTCAATATTCGCAGTTTTTCGGTTTTTGCGGTTTTTCAGTTTCAAGAGTTTACTGTACAACCAAACAATTAATTTTTCACTAGAGTTTATTTCGGCGCTGCCAAAATAATTGTAAACTTAAAACGTAAAGAAAAGCTGAAAGTCATTCACGGGCCGGAGTGCCGCGGGCAGGGCCATCTTACCAAATTACCATTAGTTAGGCTCAAGATTCAGACACGAAGGTTTCAACGAAGGAAATCTGTGACACACGCTTAAAAAAATCGCACTTTGAACCTTAACAAACAGCAAATAACTGCACGGCAATGATGCATCACATATCTGCATCGAGCGGGCAATTTTGGGAGCGCAAAAATGTGCGACATTTTGCTTTACGGTGTGCTTTCATTCCAGTCTGTAACTTAACTTTGCAGTTTGCACCTTACTGCTGCCTATACATGTATTGCCTACCGAATTCAGTGCTTCAAATTACAGTAATTAAAACAGTTACTGTAATTAACGATTAATTTAAAACAGTTAATTAACGCTACCTGTTCCAAGTTAATAAACGCCAGCCGGTCAACGAATTAATCAATACTCTGCACTCCATATTATCCGCAAAATGTTTAATTCTAATAAACCCGTTATTAATTAATTAATTTAAATTAGACATTTTAACACGTCGTGGTAAGATATGTTAGGGACTTATGCGCCCTACGCGCACTTTCTGGTTTACGCTACCAGAATGTGTTTGGACGAGCAATTAACACTAATTATAATGTTATTAATTAGCTATTAAGATTGTGCACGTAGCAGTGTCGACGATACCCGATAGGCGTTAGCAGTACTTATTATTGGATAATTATTGAGGTGTACGATTACGGCATATCGCAGTGAAAGGTAAGCATTAAAATGTGTGCACATGAGTTTGTATGAGAAATATCTAAATTGGCGACTTTGACGCTCGAATATGCTACTCTCGAGTAGCTTTTTCTAGAGCAACATTTACGAATATTTGAGGCGTGGATACAAACGTGCAAAAGACACATCATCGCAATATGGACCAGTTATGAGCGCTTATCTTATCTCGTGCGTTACTCAGCTTTTGCAGAATTCTCACAATTGCCAGGATTTACTAAATTTCCGGTCTATATTGAACCGGACTATTATTTAGATTCTACTCGCACTGTGTATACTTCTACAATGTAAGGCTTATCCAGCCATCACTGAAAGTCGACCGTATGCAAACGGTCGCGTTAATTATGATCCAGCGGCCAAAACGTAATACACTGCATAATATGGAAAATGCAGTTTTATCCGGAACGGGGTCGGCAGGTGGCCATGTCGTAGACTGCCGAAGCACACGTGGGACAATCCCTCAGGCACACACAGGTGGCGGGACTCAGTAAGGTGTTGTCGGGGCAGCCCTGTATTTGCGGGTTGATAGCCGCCAGTCTCGACACCGAGATTCCGTTCGCCCGCGCGATATCGCTGCACTGGTCGCCTTTTCCGGTTCGAGTGACTTTCACACAAGATTCCGTTCCAGCCGCGACTGTTGAGTGCGATTTAAATTATTGGGATTCATCTAGTCGATTATTTGCGTGAGCACTTTACTCGTTATTTTAGCCAGAAAAGCCAAAAATAGTGACTTTTTCATGCCAAAGCCAAAAATATTTACTTATGATACAGGCCGAAAATATTGACTTACGATATTTGTACAAACCACAGAGCACATAATAATAATATTATATATATGTTAAGAACGCGCAAAAGACACTCCGGCATAGATATTGAATATTATTCAATATCTGTGCCGGTGTGCCTTTTGTGCGTTCTTGACATAAGACCCGACTTACAGCTAGCCGCGACGATGAGCGTACTTAGTATGACCGATTCGTCAGTAGAGCAGTCCCTGCCTTGAAGCCGAAACATGGATGCTATCCAAGACTTGGTATATACGGTAAGGCGGAATAACTGGTACACAGCATCAAACTGTCGTAAACTAAGACAACAGCTGCGCGACCGATCGTCGCAGGACATTCAGATCGTCGCCATTGATAACTTGCAGTGGGAGCTATACGTTCTCAGGCAGTAGGCGGCAGGACATTAGGCTTTGCGGAGATTTCGTTGAACAACGATCCGGTTTTGTGGCGCAGGGTCGTATGTGACGATAGTTCGCCTCCTTTAATGTTCGCCATCATCCACATTAGTTCGCCGCCATTAATCCATTAATGGTTAATCGTCCTCAATTTTCCGACTACTGGTACCAAAAGTCGTGCGAGCAAATGCCATGTGACGAAACGGTTGCGCATTTGTTTGTCCCAGAACGAAGTGTCACCGATCGGGAATAACGTGCAACGAAATATCTGCCACTGAATGTCTCGCAGCCCTTCCCGGTCTCAGATAAAAGTTAGTGAAAATTAAAAAAAAAACAAGGACAAGAAAATTCAGAATACGTTCACAACAACGGCGAAAATTTTAAACGTCGGTAAAAGTAAAGTTGGCCACGGCTGCTTTCAAATAAATACTCTACGTACAGAGCAAGCAGAAAAACAGCTGACCAAAAAGATAGGATTATATTCCGAATAACCATTGGTTTTTTGGACGATTAGCGCTCTTCTGCAAATATCCATCGAAGAATGTTTTAAGTTACATTTGTTAGCGCGTAAAATGTCGTTTCACGAAGATGAACATACTTCCACAAGTAATAGTTCGAAAAAATGCTCGTCGGAATGGCGCACTCATAATGGTATACAGGATCGGATTTATCGCTGAGTTGAGATAAATGAGGGTCTTGGCAAAGAACGAGTACCATTCGTTGAGCCATGGCGTGGCCGCAAAAGTGTTGTACATTAGCAAACCACGGAATGGCAACCAGGCAATGGCAAATATCAATACGGTCACAAAAAGCATCCGCACTACCTAAATAATCCCATGCAATGTCACAGTTTCGGGAGCCATGTGCCATAAACCAACAGGGTGCTTACTCCGGCCGTTGCTGAAATGTTTCATCATTCATTGCCACATGCTTACCTGTCTACGTGCCCTGATTTGTCTGCGCTCAAATTTTGATTCGGTTCCAGTGGATGCAGAGCTGTAACATCTGCCGCTGGTTATACTGCTGGCGGTGTTAGGGAAAACAGACCTCAGTTGCTCTTCCTCATCGTTCTGCCGTATTGTTGGCTTCCTTGCGAATTTCAAGTCTTCCGCTAAACTTAAGGATCCCCTAATCACCGCTTCACGCTTCCGCAAAGCTTCGCCGATCTTGACAAAGATTACCGCTGCCGCTAACAGCGGAATGAAATAAAATAATAACAAATCCGCCCCGAAGATCGTCATGTAGTACGCTTGCGTTAAGCGAAAATCGCAGATCTCCCGGTCTGTGCCTTCGATGGCTTTCACGACGGTCAAACCCAGCCACGGTGAGCAGTAAACGGCTGCGATGATCCATAAGTAGATGATGATCCTACGCGTTCTTTCCACGGTACACACTTTTCGGGCTAACAGTGGGCGACAAATGGCAAGGAAGCGCTCGAAAGTCATCATGGACATACTACAAAATAATTTATATGTATGTTTATAATGTTAGTCATTATATATGTACTTCTTACGGAGGCTTAAGGCTGTCGGTATACCATCGTTATTGGCTATGTAACTACTATGTAACTCATTACAGTTAACATGTAAACAAAATTCAATATCCGGAATTCAGGACATCCTTATTCGATCAAAATTATGAGAGCAAGCCGGAAAACCATTTTCGTACTCTTGGAATAACAAAAAACACATATTTAAGATTAACAATTTGATCATCATTTTTACATAGATTAATTATTATTAACATTTACGTACTGTATCCTGTACAGCATTATCTACCTACAATAAAATCCGAAAACAAAACGCTGTCCCCAGTACAGCTCAGCGATTGTCCTGAAATCGCAAGACTGCTAATCCACATCGCCTGGCTCCGACAGTAAACTGCGACTTAAAACAAGGCGCCGTCACGAAATATTGTGGCAAACTCTTTTCATTATCCGCTGCTGTCGCAAACAACTGTCCGTTTACCCACTGGTAGGATCAAATCCTTTATGCCGTATACCGGTACACGCGACTTGCATGATACCGATACCGATACTTGCATGCGGCAGTGACGGATGTGGTTTTCCGTTGGATCTTGTGTACCTCTTTTGTAGTCTTTACCTTTCGTACAACTAGGAGTTAGAGAACCGGTGGAACATCCACCAGCAGCTGGCGACATCCAGCGGCATTAGCACTAGAAGGCAGTTTAGTAATTTTTGCACGCTTTCGGTTCCGCAGTGTATTACAACAGTATGTCTTTCTATCTGCGTAATTACTGTATAATTTGCATAGACGTAGCACTCGCCATGTATCTCACTGTTCTCACGCTACACGGCTGGGGTGCTTACAAATTTTTTTATGCGCCCTGTAACTGATATAGGCCGGGCGGAACTTTTACCATGCGTTGGAAATGTCATGCCGTCGATTAGAAACGACTAATAAAAAGACTAGAATTCTGATTTTGGTCTAAGGATGCACAGTGCAGAAGCTGCACAGATAAACCCACAAACGGTAAAGTGTTTGATGGTATTGTGCCTGCAAAAACTAACGGCAAAAATAATAAGGACAAGCCGAAAAGGCCATTGAAAAGGTATTTTTGATCGGGTAATTAGAACGGCAAATGTTTCGTGGTGGTAAAGGCAATGGCGTAGGAGAATTTGAAAAAGGCAAGCTGTAAAGGCAAAGGCAAACGGGCGGCAAAGGCAAACTTGGCCAGCCCGGCTTGACTACTGCTTTTTGAGCAGCAGTTTATTTAAGAAAAGTTCAACGTCCGTTACAGTTCACTTGGCATACAGAGTATACGCACAAAAACACAAACGCGTAAACGCAGAAAGCTTGAACGCTCGCCTGAAAGCTTTAAGCAATAAAATCAGTTTGCATAGATGTATTGTACCGAGTTTAAATACCGTGGAAAAGGTTATGAACTGAAAAATGGATAACCGTTAGGAAAAACGTTGGTTGCTGTTAATATAACTGTACCACGCACGATTGGGCAGCGATGAACACCCGGCAAGAATTTATCTGCTTTTACTATATGGCGAAAAACGGATAACTGAATGTTATTCAACCCAGTCGTGCATGACATGTTTGCTGCACCTACTTAGAGAGTAAGGATGATTACACATGTAGCAAAAAGAAAGAATGTTGATAAAAGCCGAGACACGCTTTAAACATAGCCCAGGCCATTAATTATTTCCTGCTCGCAACTGCAAAATAAACCTATCGAGCTCGGAATTGCTGCGCTTTTTGCAAGCATTACAAACGTTCATCTGTCGCTTTATATTTCTATGCACGGGCTATTAAGTGCATTAAGCATCGGATACTATGAATTACCGGTGTTTGTAATTACTTCTGATATCTGTGAAAGGAACGGCGTAGGATAATTACCTGCCGACCCCGGAATTGATCCCGAAAAAATTGAGGAAGACGAATACGGAACAGCCCACTTGACCAAGAAACCACTGATTTTCAAAATGGTACCCAACAATGGCTTCCGGAATGGCCGTTAAACACACCAGTAGATCGGAATAGGCCATGGACACCTACGGAGACCATACCGCGTCATCCAATGATTCCAACCCAACAATGTCGTTATATAATGCTAGGGATATAATCTTGAATATATGTTGCGCATTGTTAAATTCCGTACATTTCCCCGGCAGCCGGACTGATATTGTGAATAATATAGGATAGTTTAGTGCGAATCCTGAATCCGGCGCAGTCTTAATGACTGAACCTTTAAAATATCAGAGTATTACGGCAGATAAATACGCACTAAGTGCGCATGTTTTTAAAAATTATTATCCGCTGGGTGTGCATAAGCAGATTTTTTGTGTTGAGATAGGTTACGAATTTCCATTTTAAAAAACTGGCACTAATGTTTATAGAATCGCTTATACGTAACACCTTTTCGGCATCTACCGTAAAAGCGTGCTTTGCAGCAAACGCCGTTAGAAAAAGCTGAGCAACCCGTAAACTTGGCGCAAACTGTGTTATGTTTAATAATTAAACACTACGAATTGCAATACGTACGCAGCAGTGCTAACGGGCAACGGGTACCAGCACATACAAATTTTATTATTGTAACAGAATTTGACAGTATATTTTCCTAAGAAAATCTAGTACGCTCAGCCGTTTAAATATTGTACCTTCCAGTAATTTCTTCATGCAGTCGAATCAAGTCCAACCGCTGCGCCAACCTTTTCTCTCAGGTGAACTTTATTTCGTAAAATACAGGGTCATCACAGATCAAAGATAGTTGGTCACAATTCACAGCAACAAAACCTCATTTATTGCTGCTGCTCCTTCCGTTGTTCCGGACGCAAGCGGCGTTACCTCCCTAAATTTCCAGCGATAACCGTTGGCGCAGGAATCCATGAGAACGAGGTCTTCTCTTGCCTTATCGGCTCTTTGTTTCTCGGGGCAACGCGCGGCTGCCATTTTATCGCGGAAGTTACAGTTGATTTACACAAAGAATGCCGTATACTGATTTCCATCAGCACTTGCTGAGCTAGAGTGCAGCATCAAATTCAATCCGTCGTGCAACCGGCTACAGTCACGACACACCGGCAGTGGTGTCAAATCAATGACTGTCACGTGCGCGATAAACTGCTGCGGCGCGACGGTCAGAGGAACCAAATGCCGGTAAGACGAACTAGAAAAAGCGCTCAAGGAGCGCAAAAGGAGCTGCCGCCCCTGTTCCTGCAGACGCCGACAGTCCTGCGGCTGCTGCCTGTAGAATGCGTATAGTAGGGGAGTAACAATCTGTTCAAACTGTTTCCCTATACGGCTGCCGTCCCACGCCTGGAGTGGAACGTTACGGCAATTTGGCAAATTTGACGCGGCACTTAAGCACCTTGTTCGATGATAACGCCACGCTGCAGCCGGGTACTGTATATAGTCCCACTGACTCCCACTCCCACATACATAATTATACGGAAACGGTTAAGATTGAATAGTTTTCTCGCTTATATACGGTCAGGCTACACAAATAGTATTAAAGACGAAAAATATTAATATTTAATGAAAGGATTATTAATAAAACAAAAAAATTTTGAACAAGAAGGAATTAATACTGCTTAAAAATCTGTACATTTTGGGGTGTTTAAGCTAACCATAAGTGACGAAGCAAAAAAACATACATAATAATAATATAACCATCTTATTGCAGGGTCAAAGGTCACTGCGAATCGTAGTGGATGAGAGAGTTTTGCGCGAGCCGTGCCGACAGACCGATGGACAAGCATGACGTCATATACAGCCGCTAGCTTAAAAAGAACGAACATGTAATGGGAAATTAGCGAGCTGGGCGTAAGAAATCGGTGTTGTGACGGCAAACGAGCGAGGCGAGCGACAAATTTTCAGCTGATACAGTAACTCACTGGAGGACAATTTGAGTCTATGTAGTCTGAAGTAAAACAGTTAACGCCTTCGGCCTGGCCTGGAACACGCCTTCCGCTTGGCCAAAAACTGCGATACAGGGAGCCACCGACCAGTGCATTATGCATTCAGAGTGGTGGCTTTTACACAATTATCAGCATCAGTTTTCCAACTACGTACTTCGTTACCCAACAACAGGCAAAATATGTATCAACAGGGCACAGCAAGCTGAAGCAGACAATATTTACTCATTCCAAAAGGTATTAATTAGTTTGGTTTAGCTTGTGAAGCCCTTTGCTGTTTATTATGACAAAAATTTGCAGCAGCTGAAACTACTGTATAAAACTTACCAAATAGGTGTACATCGGATGTTTGAAGAGTTTTGACTTGTGTGTCACCACGATAAGCATAGCATTACCACACACTCCCAACATGAAAATAGCTACGTGTGTCACGGTGGCAGTAATGCGGAACGACAAGGACAACCCCTTGGCCGGCTCCATTAATGGAAGCACGTCAGCAGAAAAGTTGGAAAATATGTCCATATTATCTGCCAGAAAACGCAATAACTGAGATTCGTTGGCGTACGAAATGTTAGACAGCTGGCGGTAAATTCGTAAGAGCGCGTCAAGCTCATCTTCAGTTAACACTGAAGTCAAAGCCAGCGTGTGGTTAGCCAGGTGAGCCGGGTACACAGGTGAAAAACCGAGGATAATTAACGATAATAAACAATGACGTCCGCTACAGTGCCTTATTGCCGTTAAAACCCTCATTGTAGCAAAGAATGGTCAACTTCACAGGCGTTCCACGAGGTGCTGACAGACTGCTCAACTACAGCCGCGCTGGATGTACGGAAAAACTGAGATATGTGAAGAAGTTATTTGTTCTAGCAGCAAGCATACATGCACGTAAGGTAACTGTCGCATTGTTTGAGACGCGCAACTGAGCAGACGAGCCCCCAAGGCGGCAGATAGATCAAGCCAATCCGTAACGTAAGACAAAAGAAAGGCAGTTTACTTCTCCGAAGTACAAAGCAGTGCATCCAGTTGACTTATTGATTTTATGTGAAGTACTTGCTCATCTGAAACGTGCTTCTCGGTCTACTGCGAAATTATATTGCGCAAGTGTAAGTATATTTAATTTGCGCTCTCTTTCTGCGATACAGGGCTGCATCTCGCACTTATGACGGAAACTAATGTCACCGCGTGACCACTGTACACTTCCTTTGATGTAATGAAAGCACAGGGGATTTGAGATTCATGTTATGAGCGCGGATTTTTCCGTCACGATGCCATGGATGTGTGGTTTTCCTGCCTCGTATAAACACACCGGCCTTCCGGCCTTAAATTAATATGGGCCTCGGAAGTCCTCGTTGCTGCTATTTTTGTGAGCTTTCATTAAAATATATAAGTTCATCGAGCACCCTTTTCAGCATCATGTGAAGCACATACGTCTGCGTAATTAATAGCTTCACACACGCTTCCATTTTCAACCGGAATTGTAATATCCATGTAAATATGCCTGCTTAGTCGTCAATCTGTCAAAATGCCTCTAGGCCGAAACCTGCCACGCCTACGGGTGTGGCACTGTCGGTAGTTGCATGTTTCAAAGATATACTTGGGAAAACTGAAAATACGCGCTACAGTGCGACTGCAAAAGCTGTTGGTGTTTTCAAAAACCTTTATGGGTGTTTTCAGTGTTTTTCTTTAGCCGTTGCTTTGCGCATACGAAAGGTGGACATTTCATGTTTCCTTAAAGGTGACGAGCAGACCGGATGTGCGCTGGACGCGAATTAAAATATTTGGCAAAATATGGCCGTGTGTTGCGCTAAAATACACCGTGGTACGAACTGATGATAAAAATGTAATAACGTTGCTTTATAACATACGAGAAGTGCACATGCTGCAGTTTTAGCGTGCCTCCGCAAGCAGTTAGCCACTTCAGGGAACGAATATAAAAATCTTTGACAATATTCTGATTTCGCATGCTGTGTGTTTTATGGTCTATCTGCGAGGAATGTCCGAAAACGAAAGGGATTTTAACGGCAAGCAGAAGAAAAGTCAGGGTTGGGAGTTCACCAGCCATCAGCGGAAGGCCACAGACAAAGACATTGAGATATACCCTGTTATATCGGGTTGAAATGCGGTACGGTGATCTTGCACCCATAAGAAAGAAGCCAAAATAAAAATACAGACTGTAGAAATATTCGACATCTTGGGGCAGTCTCAAAAGCTTCGCTTCGTTTGATGGATTACTGAAATGCAGTTAAGTGTGGCTGAATGTCCGGAGTGGCATGAACGGCTCGGAAAAGCGGGTATCTGTGTGCAACGGTTAACTGCCGTTTTCCAACCGAATGGCCTATTTCTTTAAACAGCGTATAGGTATCATGTTGATTTTCTATTTTGCGGAAGCAACCGTAGGTACGTTCAATTGTCAACCTTGAATAATAATTTTCTTTAAATAAGCAGCAATAACCATTAAGAGCGGAATAGGGCTCACTTAACGCCCCCTCCCACCCCCATCCCTGCACCTCAGAGCCAAAGACCCTTCACAATGCCAGACAGTCCGTAGAAATGTATTCTCCGCTATGGAGCGCATCCTGTCTCGAAAAACGTGAGAATTTCCTACTACAGTCGTTCAGAAAGCAGCTACATTGCGGCACACATCAGACTGATATACAGCGCTGAAGAAAATAGTCATTATTGAACTTTTCCCACGTGTGTTCGGCATTTATGGGACATTAAGGACAAGTGACTTTTGGACACGAGGACGACGGTCTTGGGCGCGGGGAAGCCGTTGAAGCCGCTGGCCAGCTCGTTGGTGTAGGCGCCCATATTGCGGAATTCCAGCCAGTCACCGGTGTGCGCTTCCGGCATGGAATAGTCGCTGACCAGCTTATCCAGACTGTCGCATGTCGGTCCGCACAGTGTCACCTTTACCTTTTCAGGCTCACTGACGAGCTGGTGCGACGGATGAACGCAGATGTTCGGCTGCAAGTGGAAGGTGGCGATGTCGCGGCAGGCGCCGTACAGACCGTCGCTAAGGATGTACGTATCTTGTGCCTGGCCGTCGGCTTCCTGCAATAAAACTTTTTAATAATTTTTGATATCTTCTTTCATCATTTTTGTAATCCTGAAACACAGTTTTGCTTATTCATGTTCAAAATTTTCGTAAACTTTTTTGCGGTTATTTTATACTTTATTTCATTACTTTTACTTTTTTAAATCTTTTTCATTGTACATTTTAATACGTTTTTGAGTGTCTGCTTGTGCATTTTTAACTTTTTAAATAGAAGCATGCTTAATGCTTTTCTACTGATTTGTTCTCCCTTTCATGAAGCGTTTAAGCATTTTTTTTCAGACTTATGTATTTGGTTAATATCTGTGCGGGCTCAAGAAATATCAACGTACGGATTTGTGGCCAATGACGGAAGTGAATAAGGACTGGGCGGTGGTTACCAAGAACTGTCCCGGCTCCGCTATAATTTCCACTCCGCTTTCCGGTGGAAAATGTTCATCCAACGCTCTATTGATGGGCGCACAAAACTATAAAAATATTTTTAACATTATAAATCTAACAGGTAACAATATAACAACTAAATAAAAATCGCTTGCATTTCAAAATGTTAATTTTAGAATTAAGAACAACACTAAGATTAAAAAATATTAACTAGTAATAAAATTAATGTAAAATATTACTTTAAATAGTTTGTTTTACTTCTCTATCTAAATCATTTTCTTGACGTGCCATACTTCCGGGAACGACATGGCAACCTTGGTGAGAACCCCCGGAAACCCTCCGCCCATATCCAAAACCCGCAGCGGCTTCCCGGCCTGCTGCGCGAAATCAAATACCTTCCGGCTCTCGGCGATGGCCTGGACGTAGGCGCCGGGATCACTGCTGCCACAGCCCACATGAAACGCGACGCCCACCACTTCCAGCTCCAATTGCCAGGCGGAGGCGATCAACCGCAGTGCGGTGGCGGTGTCTACCCCAAAGCGGCCACCCATGGGGATGGCCGCGTGCGGGTCCCCGTAGCGCAAGCGTACCATCAGCTGGATACCGGGGAACAGTCGGTGTAGTTTGTGCAACTCGTCGTCGCTGTCGAAGACGGTGAGATGGAGGGCGTGGTGGTGGGCGTGGAGCAGGTGGGAGGCGGCTTTGCAGGTGTTGGAGTAGACCAGGCGGTCGGCCGGGACACCGGTGGATAAGGCTTTGTGCATCTCCGCTTTGCTGGCCACGTCGAAGCCACAGCCGGCCGCCGCGACGACGCGGAGGATCGCCGCGCTCGAGTTGCATTTTACCGCTGTTGAAACCAAAAAAACAACAATGGATATAGTAGTGATCCGAATTTTTCTGAAGTTTACTAACTACCGTACTGGAGATTACTAATTTTGATGAATATAATGCAGGATAGATATGGTGATCATGTTTAAATAAAAAAATCAAAGGCCCTAGAGACAATCAAAAATTTTTAATTTAATAAGTAAGCAAACTGGCAACTTTTAATGGCAACTTGGCGTGAAAGACCTGTATAAATTTTTGTCATCCTAGCTTTGTAACGTAAAAATGTTCTGCGACTATGAAAACGAGCTAAAAACATCCATAATGGACTTGAATTTTGAGTAAAAAAGAAGAAGAATTATTTTTACTTCTATAGCTAAGCAGGAAATTACCGTAGAATAATCCGACGCGCGGCATGCAGCGCTTCCACTGGTCGATCTTCTCCAGCACTTCATCCAGATCCAGCACGTAAAACGAATCATCTAGCCGGTGCTGAACGCGCTCACGCAGAACGTGCTCGATAATATCCTGTTTCTTCACGCCTTCTTCCACCACGACCACCTCCATACTACACAGGCACATGTCACGTTTTCTGCACCGTTCTGTCACTTAGCTGCACCGTTAGGTATACTCATTAACTAGGCGAGTATGCAACAACAGTTGTACAGTACACTATAATGCAAGTCACTGCAAGTATAATGCCGCTTGACGCGGTCGGCCGGGGCCCCGGCCTGTCAGCATCATCATTGTCGCCGGTGGAACGATGCTGACAGTAACGGCGTAATTACCAGGCGCAGCTGTTTGCCCATTTAAGCAGCCATTATTTAAGGACATCAACGGCAGGTGGCTACCAGCTCGGTTCCTTTGCGGAAAGGCGAACCGCAAAGGAAGTTATATATTAATTGTAGGTTCCGCAGTGATTATTAATTTTACTGCAGATTAGTGCACTAGACAGAAAAAATTGCCTACAAGATGAGCTATGCTTGTTTTCAGGGATTGTTGTTAGAAAACGGCTAGCCACTTCGTGTTTATTGGGCTTCTGTTAACTTATTTACCAACACCCACGTGTGATAATTAAGCGGCAGCAGCCGCTCACTTGGCCTTTTTCGTGGACGGTGCATGACGGGCATGTATGAGTCACACATTAGCCGATACCTCCGCTTAATGGAGAGTTTATTTTCCATTTTACAATAACGCAGGGATAAATGATAATCAACACGCGGCGTACTTCACGGTGCCGGGCTAATCAACCGTGTCATCCATGGAATGCTATCGCTGCTGCGCTGTGAAGTTCACTTCACGTTGGTAAACGTGTCAACTGTCAAGAATGCGATGTTTGCGTTAATTATAACAACAAGAAATCTAAGTCTGAGAAGCTTAGAGGGAAAACGTTCGATTTTCTGTCTATACGCATGATACTGTTGCGCTTGCATCGAGCGCATTTGTACCCGTTTTTATCCGACCGGTACTGTTAACTGCCTGCAAGCATTTCAGTTGCCGAATCAGCTTCACACCGCGTCGCTGCTCGGTAAGTACTAGTTTCCAGTGAGTATGGTGATTTCCTGAAATGAGTGAATCATAATGCTCGAAATTTTATTTGTTTGTTCGTCCTTCGGCATTTGTTATCAACACACCGCAGAGTGAGAACGGTAAACGCGCTAGATGTTTCGCCGGGCTACGGTGGGCGCCTGCTGACCTTGAATAATCATATGCAGGATTTACAGCATTATCAGCCAATGGAAAGCAGAAGGAAAGCATGCCTCAGTAACCTTGCCACAAGATACAGATTTGAACTGAATCGATAAGATGCCGATTTTATTACACAACCTACAGCATTATCCTGCAATGGAGAGCAAAAAGAAAGTGGGGCACAACTGTCTGAATTATAACAGTAAAGTATGCATAAAATGCCTCAGTCAGGGCACATGTGTGGAAAGACGCTGTTTGTTGGTTATTCGTGCTAGCGCGTTACTATCGTCATCTAATTTATTTTCTGGTGTGATCTTAGTAATCTGAACGAAGTGAAGCCTAACTGGTTTTGACTATGTACCATCATATAATTATGTCTGTATAACATGACTATAATTACTTATTACATTACTTATCTAATATTTACCTGCTACAATACCTATAACTCGTACATTACGCATGCTAGTACTGTACATAGTAAGGGCTTCCCCGCACCCGGCGATCTGGAACAGCAAATATTCCGGGTCTTTGCCGGAATGTCGGCGCACCATCGCCTCTTGGCATCGGTTTGTTGGTTTGCCTAGAACATGGAATGGTGTAAAAACGGGATAGTTTTGCGGTTTACGGCAACCAAAATGACGGGGCGCCCACTTACATGATGCACAGACATGTCGATGGTATTTTAATTTATATATATTTAAATACAAGAAACAGCTTCGGCTTCGCGTTTCTTTTGGTCACCGGCCACTTTATTTGATTTCGGATGGATATGTATATATATTTTGTTAGTACGAGTATAACATCTACTCTACGTATATTTTGTCGAAACATAAGTGCTTCGAAACAGCGAAATAACACAGATTTCATATAAAATTGATTCCTGATTCTGTCAACCTGGACAGCATTCCTTTTGGTTGTAATTTCTGTTTTATCGCTCTACCCGACAACAAACTCGAGGTCTGAACTCACAGTGCGAGTGCACCGGACACTGTCACTAGCTGGGCTTGGTGACTCCATTATTCCACAGGCTATCTTCAATGGAGAGTGGTGCGTGTTCGGTGTTGTTTGTCCGGTAAAAAATACAACCTTTATTGCGATTTCGTCCCTACATACATACTCATACCTTATAACATCAGACTACGGTGGGCTCCTATACTTGCAGCTGCGGACAGGCCGAGATGTGTCTTTTTCTTTATGTTTAGCCTTACAAATTATGTATCCAATTTATATGACTATATAGGTATGTATTGCTTTGTAGTTACAATACAAATTAACGAGAATAAGAAATCTCCCCGGCTAACCAAAAACCCGCTACCTATCTACGACTACTTACAGGTTAATTATTTGAGAAAATTTTCTTTGAGAATAAAAATACATTTCGGGAAAAAAGGAAATTTAAGTGTCAAAAGACAATCGGCCTGCCTTAACCGGTGCTGCGCAGCCATTTCAGATACGAAGGAAAAGAAACATAATCGCAATAAGGTAAATTGTAACAGATCATCGAAGTCACAGCAACAATCATCATACACCATGAGAATCAAACAGCATCATTATCGGCCGTGCTGAGGACGACCGGCAAAGAAGAGAGGAGTAACGGCTAACGTACGGATGACGTGAACAGGCTACTCGGACCTGGGACAATCCAGTCCTTATTGGACTTATTTAAAAAAATAATGTAACTGCAACTGAGCGCAATAATTGCCAGGTTTTTAAACAGGGGTTTAGTCTGACAGATTTTCGAACGGAGTCGGATGGTGTTGGCAGTTCGCTCAATGCTGGACATAGCAGTGCGGGCGACCGTTCCCCTTAATCCAACAACGAGGTGGTGGTAATCGGTCTGCCAGCCGGCACTAGTTAGTTCAGTGACCAAGGAAGCATACCGGGCGTGCTTCCTGGATTCGGCATTAGCAAATCCGTTCACGGTTTCAAAGGGAATGGTCAGTTTTGCTAACACAATGCGCTTTTCGGCGCGGTTGATGCAACACAAATCAGGACAAAGAGAGGTAGGAAGAACATCAATTGGAATAGTATTAACATGGTTCTTATACTTATCAGAGCCTAAATCACTTATAATTTCCCATTTACTATTATCAGCCACACCGGTTAGGAAATCGAAAATAGCTGACAAGACACTGTTATGGCGACAAGTATAGCGATGGCTGTTTAAAGAGACTGGGCAGTAGTTAACAATGTGACTGAGAGTTCCCTTGTCAGCCCCGCATAACTCGCATTTCCCTCAGACAGTTTTGCCCCGCTTAAATAAATTAGTAAAGGAAGGGGAGATATTAAGCGCCGCTTCGACAATAAAAGTAACAACTTTTTCAGGTAGATCATACAAGGCCGATTTCCAGAAAGTATCAGCTATCTGTGCTTTTGTTACTTCGTGCCAAGCTCCCTGTTGGACTAGCGACTCTAGCCTGTTTTCTTTTGCTGTCGAAATGTGCTGCTTGACTTTCTTGCTAACAAACTTTCTGATGGCTGCCTTGTTTGCTCTTCGCTCCCTCCCGGTGACTACCGAAGTCTGAACGATGTCCACAATTCCACAATCATTTCCACAAGCCGAATTCAGGTTGTCCTTTTCCACCTGCGCTACAACAACGTCGTTCGAGGAAAGTGCATCCGCGATGAATGTGGCACGCCCTTGTACATAAACTGATTTTATCGATTTAAAATCGAACCCATCCGGAATGTAGAGAATATCGCAATTAGCAGACCCATTTAAATTTAGCCACTTTTTGAAATATTTATTAGCAATAGCTTCGAGTTCATTCACAGTCGAAAGAGAAAGGTCATGCATTGTCAAGGCAAAGCGCATGCATGCCACAACATAGTCATTAAAATACGGACCTTATAAGTGGCACGGAGATTAAGCCGATCTACTTTTTCAGTTAAAGAATTAAACGCAGATTTGATTAAAATGCCACTCGACGACGACTGGTTTTTTTCAAAAATATGGACACCGAGAAACTTCATAGGATCTTCCGATATATTAGTCACATTTTGTCCAATAATTTCAAACGCAGTTTCACAAGAAATTCCTCTGATAAGTGAAAAGCAGCGGCATTTTTCAACGTTTAAATTAAGGCCAATCGAACTCATACAGATGTTGATTTCGCGAAGCAGCCGGCTCATACTCGATTTATTATTGGTAACAATGGTTAAATCGTCTGCAAATGCAGGATCAATAATTTTCTCTTCTGTTATGCATCGAACGCAATCCCGCATTTTTTATTTTCCTTTAAAAATTCAAGAATACAATTAAAAGCAATAAGGAACAATGCACAGCTCATAGTGTCCCCCTGAAACAAACCTACATTAAACGGAATATTTTTCGAAAATTTATCATTCTAGTTAATTTTAATTGACAGGCCGGTATAGTAATTATCAATATATTTAACAATGTATTCAGGAATATTATATCGACGTAAAACTGCCAAGAGGACCTCCTTTCGAACAGAAGGATATGCATTTGCGACGTTTAGCCAGGCCACATGCATTGCTTGTCTTTTCGCTCTCTGCTGCTCAATTAACTTCTAACAGTTGCATAGAATGTTCCCCGCATCCGTTAGTAGCTTCAATGAAACCCTTCTGCACATCCGTGTTAATCAGTTTATTTTTAAAACAGTACGACATTAATCGATTAGAAATGACAGAGTGAATAACCTTTGCAATACAGCTAGTCAAAGTAATAGGTCGATAGTTTCCCGGCATATTATATTCGCCTATCAGCAGGGCGCAATCCGAGGGAAACCGAGAAACGGCTGAAAAAGGCGCCGATGGGGGAATCGAACCCCGGCTACGTCGTTAGATCCGCGTAGGCAGTACCACTGCACCACGGCGCAATTTTTTGAAATCATTTGAAAGATTTTGTCGCTGTATGTGAGCCGGCAAGATATCTGTATTATCGAAGCCGGTGTTGCAGGTCTTATTCTTTAATTTATTTATTCATGAAAAATTAAGAGGAGAAAGATTCTGGGGGTTGCAGATATTCTTAAAATAGTTTTCAATATCGATCATTTTCATAGCATTAGAAGAAGCCGAAGAAGATTTTATCTATACATCAATAAAATTCCACATACGCTTTGTGAACCAGCTATCATTTTCTTTCCGCTCGGCATTGTAACGTAGCTGTGAAATTTTAGAGGAAAGAGTTTTTCTAATTAATTTTAAGCTATGCAACCGTTCCGCATAAGAGAGGGAAAAATCACGATCGACGACTTTCATTCTTCGCTTCTTTCGTTTCAGTTTATTAATTTCGGTAGAAACAGCTAGCCTTTCCCTGATTAATTCTGCCGGAACTGCTTACTTAGAATTTTTACTGAAAAATTTACCGGTAGATTGTTCGCAATGTAGCACAGTTAGAGCATATACAGCTAGCCCCCAAGAAAATATTTCCATGATTTCATGAGATGCCCATAAGCCGAGATTACAAGCAGAAATCAGTTGATTACAAAAATCTCCCAAAAAGAGTGAAAACGAACCGGTGCGGACTGATGTAACTTATGCCATTTAGGAGGTAAAATTTTCATACGGGAAGTATTAGCAGATATAATATTATTTAAATCGATTCGTACGGTACCGAATACCACGTCATGCAGATGTTGCGTTAGCCGATCTTCTTGCCGGATTGGACGGGAGTGACTTTGGGTGGAAGTAGTCATGGTAAAGATCAATCCGATGATGTTGTTAGTGACTAAGATAAAGGTTCCGTATTTTGGTAGATGGAGTACGGCAGTTCTCAAAAAGAAAACGCCAGATTT